CAGAATCTTCAAAATTGACATTGCCGAAATCTTACCACCACCAACTCACTCCGCAACGCATTTTCCAACATCATTGTCTGATAGCGTTGGTAGCTCTAATGGCGGGACTGAGAGTACCGGGTATGAATCTGGAAGTGAATCCGCTGGAGGGGCTGGGCTACATGCGAAAGGAAAGAGAGATGGATTAGGAGCCCGTAATGCCACGACAAAGGTTACACCAAAGAACAAGGTGACGAAGCATTCGATCAAGGTCCGAGTGCTTCGGTCTGCTATACGTCAGTGGGAATCTGTGCATCGGCGTGGACACTCTCCAGTTCCGGCGTCGGACATTTGTGCTTTTGCGGGTGCGATTCGTGTTGTGGCGTCCAGCTCCAAGAAGATTGGTGTGGCTGGCATGCTGTCGTCTGCTGTTGGAGGCGAGAATACTTTTACGGTCATGGTAAACAACAAACGAGTACATATAGGCAAGCACGGCGATGCGGATTTGCGTGCGAGGGAAAAGGAGAGGCTTAGAAAGAAGATTAGGTTGGTTGGCCATTGTCCTGCGCTGCTTTTTGAAATATGTCGAACCCTTACGTTTTCTCTGTAGTCGAGGGTCCTTTGGAACGGCTCGATCGAGTGTCACTGGAGGGGCTACGGCCGAGGCGGCGGGGTCTGCGGGCCAAACTCCTCTTGCATCCGCCAAAAACATTCTCAACGGGAGTTTCTTGTTTAGTCGCAGACGCCCAAAATCTTCTCATTCACTAGTCAGTGGAGAAGAAGGAGGTATCGAAATGAAGGTATACTGTGCATTAGTAATGCGGTAGCGTTCTTCTCTTGTCTTATGTTGCGGCACGTTTTCTTTGCCAGCATCCATTGCGCATATCGAGCCTACCAGCATCATCATCGTCGCCGTCCCCAGATATACTAAAGCAGCTACCTACCGGGGGGACGTTTGGCCTACTGTCTCCGCGAAGTAATCTAGCCGCTGCTGGAAAACGAAGGGCTTCCGTTGCCACCGTCTTCCCGACACAGGAAGCGTCAAGTCCAAAGACGGAATCATTGCGTTCTCAACGTGAGATGAAGATGGAAACACCGCCCCCTTTCAGAAGCGATGAAGTCGACTCACCGCATAATCAACCTGGCGCAAAAAATCACTCTGTGGAAGATTCGCCGTCACGAACGCCCTTGACAGCACATGAACACAGTGAACAATGGACGTCTACTACCTACAGTCTGACCTTTCTGTTCCTGTGCGGCACCATCGCCTTTTTGACTGGCGCTATCCTCCGGTTGTTTGTCGTAGATCCATTCTCGACATTTCCTAGCACATCAATCTGCCCTGTTCCCTCCAAACTCCCACCGGTTCCAACGAATAAGCAGCAATGTCCCCTTGTGTTCTGCCCACCATGTCCGGTATGTGCATCTCCAGCGGCCACTGCCACTGTGACCGTCACTGTAACGGCAAGTAATAACATGGCATCGGAGGCGGTGGAAACACAAGTGATGGTCTTTGATCCGGAAGGAGTTGGTGACTCGGGCCATCGTGAACTGTAAAACTGTATAAAGATTTTGGGAAAAAATGTATTTAAACGGAAAAATCCTTGTTGATCACTTTTTTGAAAGTCCCCAACATGTATATGTATCATGACCAAGAAACTTGGAGAGTATCTTCTTTTTGCAAGTGCTGTCAAAACCTGCTGTTCACCAACAGAGTCGTGTTGCAACAACTTCACTCTTATTTTCTAGAGTGTTGCACTATGTGTAAACAAAAAAAAAGGGCCCGCTCATCTACCTCTAGCAACCCAAAATCACATTTCACGAAATAGATTGGATCGATGGGTTCAGGGCATCATCAACTATGGATATTTGCTATTCGACACAGATATTCCCTTTCTCTCACCATGTTACTGAGCCGTAGCACTATCTCTTTGCGGTGCTGGTACGTCCTTTGCTACCGCTGCAGCAGACTCCCTCTCTTGAGGGCGTTTCTCGGGGAATGGAAGGTTCTTTTGCTGAAGGTAGTGACAAGCGTGCCGATAAAAGTTTGGATACGTTGATGTTTTCATCTGTAAACAAATAAGAATGTATGAGAAACTGGAATATATTTGAAAGGGAATCACAATCATTGAAAAAACTCACCATCATGTATGTATGTTCCAAGACATGTTTAAAAACATCTGGATGATAGTTTTTCTTTTCGTTGATATCTACCAGCACCTTTTTGCGAATTGCAGCTGGCAGGTTCACTTCCTTATCACTTCCAGGCATCATGTACAATGTTACAATCATTTCAATCTCATCTTTGAGGGCGGCTAGTTCCCTTTCCTTGTCCTCTGAAAGTGGTTCTTCAGATCCGTGTACACTGCCTGTTGCTGTTCGGTTTTGGAGGGATGCCGTTGAGTTGAAGACAGAGGACATGCTTCGTACTGAGCTGTGGGAGCCCGTTCGACGGGTGCGAAGGGTACTGGGACAGTTTTGAAAGACCTTTGAGGCGTTTTCCCGGTATCGCATTATAGAGTGCCAGAATGCGAGGTTTTCCTAATGATGAGGAGTATTTTTGATGAGTTTTTTGGTTGATAGCGACTTTTGTTCATTTTACCCGACGTGGAACCCCACGTCCACGTCAAATCTATAGAGTATGGACCTCCGATTCTGTCTATACCAAACACTCCCGTTCCGCGTTTGCCATAACGTTCTCCTCCTTGGTCCTTGCGAGCTCGTATGTCTATATCCAGCCTAACCCGCCTTTCCAGCCTGATAAATACCTCTGAATGTTCCTTTTGAACGAATTTCTCAAAATCTGATAGGGAGAAAGGACTCTCGTACTCATCGTTCAACACCGCTGTTAACGAGATTTTGTACTTGTTCTTGGTCTGAGGGTGCATCATTCTGTCTCAATTTGGGCGGCTGGCTCTAAAGTCGGAAGAGTGCTTTTGAACCTTGTTGGGTTATGGTCACACAGGACCTTGAGCAAGCGCTGTTAAACCAGCTTTTAATATGGTCGACTTGTCTACGAGGAATAGGAGCCACCGGAACTTTTGCTTGGGTGGAAGCGCCAAAAACCAACACGATGTAAGGTCCAAGTCAAATATAGGTACATTATGAATGCAAAGCTCGATGGAGTCGCCCAGGGATTTCTGTACCTAAAATTGGAGCGTTTGTTATGGCTTCTCAGCCTAGGATCTAGAAAGAGCCCGAATTGGCCGCTGGGATTTTGCCTCGGCTCCACGCTTCGACAGATCCCATTATTCAGGATGTTTTAACATGCATGCAGTTGTCCGGAAACGGGGGGCCTATATCAATGGAACTCTATCCGATCCAAAAACCTCTTGTATATTTTACAGCATGCATAACGCCAAAATACAAAAGGTTAACTCTGCTTCAATGTCAAAGGCGTCCGGTCACCAACCAGCTGCCGTATGTGTTGTATGTGTGAGACATACAAGCTAGACATGAACCTTACGCATCCTGCCACTGTTTACCAGCATGGCAAAAGGCCAGTTCTACTTGAATCCATTCCCCATCCTTGCATTGTTATTGTTCCATTATCCTTGCATTGTGCCATAACCCCATCATCCCAACCGTCATCATCCCAACCGTCATCATCCCAACCGTCATCTCGTAAGTCCAAAAGTCCGAATGCTTACCTAATACAATATATCCATATAAAGATATATGAAAATGCGCCTTTTGTCTATTTATGGAAATGGTCCAATGGCCTTTCGTTTTCTCACGCAGAAGCGCCCACGCACGGCCCCCCCTTTCACTCCTCGCCCACTGCGTTGCTTGCTTGCTGCTCTCCTACGAGAAACGCGTTTCCCACACGGCCAACTTCAACCAGACTGTACATCTCGCATCGGCCAAGATCCACCGCGTGATCGCGCACAGACAACAAGACAAGGCTTGTATACACACTCTAGTATGCCCAAGGAAGCTAAAGCAAAGGACCAAAAGGCCTCCAAGAAGGCTGCGACCGGTCGGAAGACACGGGCAAAGAAGGATCCCAATGCACCCAAGAAACCTCTTTCCGCCTTTTTCTTCTTCTCGCAGGAGAACAGGGCAAGAATAAAGGAGGAGAACCCGGACGCTACTTTTGGTATGTGATTGTTTTTGATACTGCAGGACGATGGCAAATTGTTTCCTCATGCTGCAAATTCCATTCAGGCCAGATCGGCAAGTTGTTGGGTCAAGAATGGAAAGAGATTAGTCAATCTGACAAGCAGGTATGTAGTGTTTGACTATTACAATGTTACAAAAGGAATGCTGATGACTTCTGCTTTTATCAACTACCAACCAGCTCTACGAAAAGAAGGCTGAAAATGACAAGATCCGATATGAAAAGGATCTGAGGGCGTATCAGGCTGGCGAAACTGCTGCAGCCGATGATGAGGACGAAGAAGATGAATCTGAATAAATCTTTGTGTAGTTGATTTCGTTCTCTTTCTTTTGCAGAAATTGGGCTTTTTCGGCTCTTTGAGGGCTGGTTTTGTTCTTTTTTATTTTATTTTTTTGTTGAATTGGGGGAGCGTTTACCCTGTTGCGCTAGGAATTCAATATAGTTTGTCTAATGGATTTATCGGTATTTTGAACTGGCCATTTTCTCTCCTGGGTTTTCTGGGAACAAGTATTTACTGTAGGCTATCTTGGCTGAAAGACTGAAATAACGATGAATACCAAATGTCTCCTCGTTCGTTCCACTTGGATAATTTACCACCTCTATCACCGTTGCCTTTCGCCGTTTGATGCTTAAAAGACCTTGGCGGAAGAACTGAGATGTAGAACCTGTCCACCCCCCTTTTGCATATCTCGGCAATCCAAATTGCCCACTTGCAGCATGGTGCTTTTGCCGTTTCTACGTGCTTGACGACGCGGTAACATCCCTGGCAAGAGTGTGCAGTCCATCCAATCCAAGATTATCCCGTTCAATCGATCACCTCATGACGGAAGAACGAGATGCAGAACCAGCCCACCCTCCGCCTGCATATCTCTGCAAATCCAAATTGCCCACTTGCAGTACAGTGCTTTTGTCGTTTCTACGTGCTTGAGGAGGCGGATGGCTCTGCAGTCCATTCAGTTCAAGATGATCCACGTTCAATCGACCACCTCACAGTGCCATCTCTTAAATCCCAAAAACCATATAAAAACCACAAACAACGCACCATATAAAAACCACAAACAACGCAAAGGAATCAAAGCATATGGACAACTCCTCAAAATGAGGAACAAATGTTATTCCATAAAGTACCTAAAAATGATAATAAACAATCCCAAAGAAACAGCTCTATCGAAAAAATGTCCTAAATATCCATTACCCTATACTAAAAAAAAAAAGAACCTCCCCACCAAAAAAAAACAAACAAAAACTAGAAAGAAAACAAAAAGAAAAAAACCTAACGAAAACTAAAAACTACCAATCTATCTAAACCCTTACTTGATCAAATCGCCCCATCCGTTGCATCTACATCAATTCTGGGCTGGTAGAGCGGGTTCTCGTACATTGTGTGAGGCGAAGCATAGAGAGGGTTGGCTTGAGCGTTCGTGAAAGCGTTACCACCGGCCGCAGCATTCGAGACTGCACTCGAGAATGTTCGGGATTTGTAAAAGAAGGCACCTGCTCCGGCTGCTCCTAGGGCTGCTACTGCTCCTACTCCGGCTCCAATGTAGGTTCCTGTTGGAGTTCCGCTTGGTTCTGGGGTTGGGGAGGTGGATGGGCTTGGTTCAGAGGAGGGAGTTGGGCTGTTGGTTTCGGCGGGGCTCGGGAGTGCTGAGGTTGTTGTTGCGTCCATTGTGCTTGTGGGTTGAACTGTTGTGCTTGGGACGTCGACGGTTGTTGTGGGCTCAACGCTTGTAGTCTCAGCAACGGTGGTGGTCTCTTCAACTGTGGTAGTCTCTTCAACAGTCGTAGTGGGCTCAACAGTTGTGGAGGGCTCAACCGTGGTGGTCTCAGCTACTGTGGTAGTAGGCTCAACAGTAGTAGTCTCTTCAACAGTTGTGGTGGGCTCAACGGTGGTGGTCTCGGCAACCGTGGTGGTCTCAGCTACTGTGGTAGTGGGCTCAACCGTGGTGGTCTCTTCAACAGTTGTGGTGGGCTCAACGGTGGTGGTCTCGGCAACTGTGGTAGTCTCAGCTACTGTGGTAGTGGGCTCAACCGTGGTGGTCTCTTCAACCGTTGTGGTGGGCTCAACCGTGGTAGTCTCAGCAACAGTTGTGGTCTCAGCTACTGTGGTAGTGGGCTCAACGGTAGTAGTCTCCTCAACAGTGGTGGTCTCAGCAACAGTCGTAGTGGGCTCAACCGTGGTGGTCTCGGCTACTGTGGTAGTAGGCTCAACGGTGGTGGTTTCTTCAACAGTTGTGGTCTCCTCAACAGTCGTAGTGGGCTCAACAGTTGTGGTCTCAGCTACGGTAGTTGTGGGCTCCACGGTTGTGGTTGGCTCGACGGTGGTAGTCTCCTCAACAGTCGTGGTAGTAGTCTCGGCTACGGTCGTGGTTGGCTCAACGGTTGTGGTCTCAGCAACTGTAGTTGTAGTCTCCTCAACAGTCGTGGTGGGCTCAACTGTGGTGGTCTCAGCAACTGTAGTTGTGGGCTCAACAGTTGTGGTCTCCTCTACGGTGGTAGTTGTGGTCTCAGCAACAGTTGTGGTTGGCTCAACCGTCGTGGTCTCCTCAACAGTCGTGGTAGTAGTCTCAGCTACGGTCGTGGTTGGCTCAACGGTAGTAGTCTCCTCAACGGTTGTGGTCTCCTCAACAGTCGTAGTGGGCTCAACAGTTGTGGTCTCAGCTACAGTAGTTGTGGGCTCAACGGTTGTGGTTGGCTCAACGGTAGTAGTCTCTTCAACAGTCGTAGTGGTAGTCTCCTCAACGGTTGTGGTAGGTTCCACGGTTGTGATGATGGTGGTCTCATCAACGACGGTTGTTGTTTCAGCGACCGTAGTAGTGGGCTCGACTGTTGTAGTAGGTTCAATAGTGGAGATGATGGTGGTCTCATCGATGACGGTTGAGATTGTTGTTTCAGCTACTGTTGTGGTGGGTTCGACTGTGGTGGTGGTCTCCTCGACTGTTGTTGTTGGCTCAACGGTTGTGGTCTCCTCGACTGTTGTAGTGGTGGTCTCTTCAACTGTTGTTGTTGGCTCAACGGTTGTGGTGGTTGTCTCCTCAACGGTCGTAGTAGGCTCTACTGTGGTGGTAGTCTCTCCAACGTTTGTGGGGGGCTCAACAGTTGGTGGTAGTTTCTTCACCGTGTGTGGTTGGCTCAACA